GACCTGTCTCTTATACACATCTAGATGTGTATAAGAGACAGTAAAGAGTGTCATATCCGGCAATCTAGAGGTACAATTTCCCCAAATTTTACCACCTCAGCTACAACTGTGGGTCTAAGATGCGTGTGGACTCACAGTTTTGAAGTATGGTAAAGTAAATACATCAAAGACATGTTTTTAAGTTGTATTTTCTATGGTACCGTACATCACACATTAGGTCTCTGTGGTTGCTGAACCTTAGCCCCAACCATGGTGGGGCAGAGGTGGTTGTGAACTCACTGCTTTGAAATAGGTAAAGTAAATACATCAAAGAGAATGTTTTTAAATTATATTTTCTATGGTTCATCACACATGCTACTTAGATCTCTATAGTTGCCGAAAATCGCCAATAAAAAAAAAGATCATGAAGATTTGTTGGCGCTTCATTTTGAACTATATAATGATATAGTGATGTGATGATGATGAATTTTACTATTTTAAATGTGTCATTTCCGGCCATCTACAGGTACTATAATTTTCCTCAAATTGTTGCACGCACCTCCTACCGCCAAATCCTGCATCCGCCCCAGATTCCTTCACACGTTGTTAGACAAAATAATTAATTCGTATCAAAGTTATTGCCCCAAAATAGGATGCTATCTTGTTTTCAAATTCTATCATATACGTTTATTGAGATCATAAATATAATTGAGTGTTTATGTATATAACCCCACTCTCATTCAACCTAGATTTTCACAAATACACACACGTCTTAGTATAGGCTCTTGTACTTGGAGATGAAGGTAGGCCTAAGCACAGCGGTAAGGCTCTGAGCTTTAAATTTAAGTGTTAGGAGATCCAAGTTGAGATTCATCAAACGCTTAGTTCTATCTACGTTTGTCTTTTGTCACACAGTTGGCAATCATCATCATCATCATCATTATTATTATTATTATACTTTTATCATAGTGGAAGCGGGTTGGCGCAGTGGAAATAGTTGGTTTCCCCAACTTCGAGGTCTGGTTTCAATCCTTCGCTGTGCGTTTCGCGTGTGCCGTTGAGCAAGGCACTTTATCTACATTGCTTCAGTCTACCCAGCCGGGGAAAAAAACCGACAATTCGTCGTAGAGAAAAAATAATTACATATATTTTCTGCATTGTTAGATTTTTAGTTTCTAAAATCGATTAAATAAACCTTATACAACCCCTAAATCCTAAAAGAATATTTTTAGAGACGCCCGACCACGACCACTTTGCTCTCGTCGGGGAAATCGCCCCTCCCCCCGTCGGAGACCTTGGACCCCACGTCGGGCAGATCCTGGGAGAGCATCACACTGTCATCCGCTTTACGCTACACAGAATCTGGGAATAAGAAGCTACAGGCATATGAGGCCCATGGCTAGGCAACGATTTACATTTTACATTTGATCATACCGTAAATCCTCGAATTGAAGCACAGTGAGCTTAATCTCGAGATGAAGCCCATTTTCAATTAAAGCCCCCCCCCCCTTTTTTTTTTAGTTTGCCCCCCCCCCCTTTTTTTTAGTTTGCAAAAGTAGCCACGAGAAGAAGCCCATCTCGAAAAGAAGCCCATGGGCTTCTTTTCAAGATAGCGTAGGCTTCTTTTTGAGATAGTACAGCACCAACACTGTACATGGATTTCAGAAAACAAAATAAATTAACAACAAGCTTGGAATTTATACAGTAGTTTAGGTGATTTAATGCTATTTAAATACACTTCATGATATAGATTGATGTTACAGTGGCCTTTTTTTAAATTGTTTTATAGTACAAATTCACAACATTTACAGCATTCATTTTGAAAAGAAGCCCCCTATTTACTTTGCAAAAGTAGCCTCGAAAAGAAGCCCATCTCGAGAAGAAACCCATATTGAAAAGAAGCCCATCCAAAGTTCGCAAAAAAAAAAGAAAAAAAAAAAAGCCCAGGGCTTCAATTCGAGGTTTTACGGTATATCATCGTAAGCATCATCATATACTGTAATCATCATTATCATTATTATCGTCATTCATTATGGTCCTTATTTTCTTGTTGTTGATTATTGTTGTTGATATTATTGGTCTTTAATACATACAAACAAAAATTACGACAGTCTACACAAAATTTGGTTGGACTGTCGCCAATGATGTTCAACAAATAATATCACGAACCTCAATATGCCGTCCGGTTTCTTCCCTTAAGTGTGACGTAAGTTCCTAATTCAATTGTATGATATATGACATTTCAAAACCTAGTGCTCGTTTCGGAAAACATTAATAAATAACATTACGTTAGTTGACTATCGGCCTATATCATTTTACATTAAGAACTATACTAATAATTTCTTACATTTTATACGTTCGGAAAATACATTGAGAAACTATTGATATTTTGTTGTAACTCTTACAAAATAGAAATTATAGTTACATAATTGTATATTTAAATGAGTAAAGCGGAAACGATGACGATATAGAATTTCGATGTAACACGCAATTTGTCGATCATGTTTATAATTCGGTATGTGTGAATTTCGCTGTTTTTCTTTCGATGTGGTTTACTATATACAAAACGGAAATTGTCAGATCTGGAAACAGGAACAGTCGACCAGGCTTTCAAATCCAAGGCCCCTAATTCAGGGACGGCAGTCGCTTCTCGATATCAATCATATCAGCAAGATGATATTATATGATGGAATCAGAGATTATATTGATAAAAATATAAGGTAATCCCTAAATCGCTGTAGCTGTTCGGTAATTCAATGGGAAGTTGTTACGATTCCTTACCAGATTCCAAATTTCCTGTAGTATGTTTTTTCACGATGACTACCAAGCGTCTATGCTGGGAACATTAAATTAAAGAAGAAAGGTAAGTTTTATAAAACTTATTGAATCTCTTATTGAAACTTTGGTGAAAATTGACTAAACAGACCGACATTGTACGATAAAAATGAATGTACAGTATACCGTAACTTTTTAAAAATAGCCAACTTGAACCCATTTTCTTTGTATTACATCGGATCGCTGGTATTTCAGACAGAATGGTCTTCCATACTAAGGGACATTTTGTCCCCTTCATCGTTTTTTCGAGAAACACCAAACAGTGATTGATCGAAGATTTGTACGGCATAATTTGGATATAACTTATACGGTACGTACAGCTAATAGGCCTATTGCAATTTGTTTTCGTCAATCTTACTCTAAATATCAATCGATTGGTACGGTAATCTGATTATTTTATTGGTGGCTGATTCATAATTAATTGGTTTTTGATTGGTTTAATGTTTGAGTGATTAATTGATTGATTAATTTATTGGTTTGTTGAAAGATTTATAGATTGATTGATATATAATTTAACGAACACAGACATTTGTCATTTTCACCATACATAAAAAAAAAATACTTTATTGTTAATAATAGTGTGAAACCTTTAGTTATTATTCTTATTGACGTTACTTTTTATTATTATTAATAACAATATATATTGCTAGGGCCTATTGTTAAACAATTTCTTCTTATTGAAGTTCTATTGTACGTAAAAAGTCTCAAATATTTCGAATTTGTTTACTACAGAAATTTCAAGTAGCCCAAAATGGCGGGCATTGACAATGGTGTTTTGGAGTGTATGATCTGTTTTGAGAACTTTAACCAAAGCAGCCGGTTACCAAAGATGCTTCCATGTCAACACTCTCTGTGCCTTGCCTGCGTTGATCGACTCAGAGACCTTAACATTTCGAATAATACCCCACACAACTCAGTCACACATAGCTCGTTACCCTCTACCCGCCGACAGAGAGTCACGTGCCCCGAGTGTCGCGAGGACTACGAACTTCCGAAACAAGGATTTCCAAACAATATCACCATCCTCAGATTGATGACGTCAGAAAACACGTCCATCGAAGATAAAAGACGCTTACCAATTGGTTCATCTTTTCAGGCGACCGTAACAGCCGTGATCAAAGAAAAAACATTAGGAACTATTAATAAAATCGAAGAACTTTTAAAAGTCGCTCAATTAAATAGCAATATGGATGTGACGTGTGAGCCTACACGAAGCCAGATTAATAGTGCTTTTCACATGGCACTGGATATTGTGAAAAACAGGCAGCAAGAATGCTTGGGTAAGTTTATAATAGTAGGCCTATAATATGATGTACGAATTTTGATTAAATTGACTTATCGAAACCCCCTACTCACCTACTCATGGCAGTGTAAGTAGACGTCCATCTGACTTTACATGTTTGACAATTTTACAAGCGTGAGACTTTTTAAAATTTCACCCCATCCCCTGTTATGGGGTCCCACACCCCCTCCCCCCCCCCCCCCCCACCCCACGCCCAACCAGGAAATTTGTTTTCCTAAATGATCAAAAATGCATTAAAGATTTGCATTTTCCCCTCCTTGATGCGCATTGAGCACTACTGCAGTGGAAATGCACTGTATAAACCTTATTATTATTATTTATTATTATTTCCTTTTACTTGAGAACGTATTGCAGATCGTCTCCACACAATGTTTTCATACTGTGTCCATTGAAATTATCCGACAGCGCTTTATAAAACGACATATATGCAGTGTTGGTGCAGCTAAGTGTTATACATGATGTTACCACGATATTTTGAGTACTGTAAATGGAGAATTTTTAGTAAAAAGAGGGCTACAAAGATCACAATTAATACATAATGT